TGATGCTGGGAAAGATTGAAAGCAGGAGGAGAAGGGGACGACAGAGGATGAGATGGCTGGATGGCATCACTGACTCGATGGACATGAGTTTGAGTAAACTCCAGGAGTTGGTGATGGACAGGGAAGCCTGGTGTGCTGCAGTCCATGGGTTTGCAAAGAGTCGGACACAACTGAGCAACTGAACTGAACTGAGAAACTAACACAACATTATAAAACAATTATGCTCCAATAAAATTTAATTTTAAAAAAAGCAGGGATAAAATTAAAATGAAAAGGACTTTGCAATGATAGGAAGAGTTCAATTCCCTTCCCAAAATTACTTTAGTATTAGGTCTCTGATATAAGAGTCCAGAGAATGCATTTTAATCAATGCTTGGCCACAAAACATAAAAGCAAAAAATAGAGGCTGTGGAAGAAGCAGAAGACTTTAGATATGTTGACTAAAACTTTTTGGAGGTGAGATAAGGCACAGAGGGGGATGGATGAAAGCTCCCCAATTAGAAATCATTCCCTTAGCTGGTTTGGGCTTTTATCCATAGTGCATCACTGTCTCTTAAAATGAGACTTTTTATTAGAATATAATTATTTTACAATGCTGTGTTAGCGTCTGCTGTACAATGAAGTGAATCAGCTATAAGTATACATATATATCCTCTCCCTCCTGAGCCTCCCGCCTACTTCCCTCCCCATCAGACTCCTCTAGGTCATCACCGAGCGCCGAGCTCAGTTCCCTGTGCTATATAGCAGCTTCCCACTAGCTATCCATTTTACACATGGTTGTGTATTTATGTCAAAGCTAACACACCCGTCAGAATGACCACCATGAAAAAATCTACAAGCAAGAAATGCTGGAAAAGATGTGGAGGAAAGGGGACCCTTCTGCGCTATCGGTGGGAACTTAAATTGATACAGCCACTATGGAGAACGGTATATGGCAGTTCCTTAAAAAACTGAAAAATAGAACTACCATATGATCCAGTGATCCGACTCCTGAGCACATGCCCTGAGACATTTTTTCTTTAGGTATATGTTTTCTCAGTTATGGAATGAGGAGGCTAGATATGAACTTTTGTAAAATTCACAAAAATGAGAATTCTCAGTGTGTGTTCACTTTGTACCACGAAATGTGCATGGAGCCACTATGACAATATATACAGCTAAAATGACAGAGATCTGAAATGGAAATTAAAGAGATGGAGGGGGTGGCAGGTCAACTGGAAGAACATATTACTTTATTTCTGGCAGTTTTAGTTCTTTTTGGCAGGTCCATCTATTTTCTGAAGCACAGGTATCAGAAATAAATTGTGTCTTTGATATGCAAACACAGTTGTCTTCTTTAACATCACCATAAACTGGTAATCTGCGGAGCAAAAGAAAAGACTCTCTTTAGTGTTTGTGACTTTCTCACATAATTCTCCTCATCCGGCCAGTATTTTCTGTAACTTTCAGGAAACAACGAGATGCTCAGTTATTAAGCATTGGGTAAGTAAATGGACTGAGGAGCCTGGTAGGCTACAGTCCATGGGGTCGCAAAGAGTCAGACATGGCTGAGCGACTTCACTTTCAAGTAAACAGTCTAATGTCAGAAAGTGAAGAGGAACTAAAAAGCATCTGAAAGAGGGTGAAAGAGGAGAGTGAAAAAGTTGGCTCGAAACTCAACATTCAAAAGTTAAGATTTTAGCATCCAGTTCCATCACTTCATGGCAAATAGCAGGGCAAAAAATGCAAGCAGTGACAGATTTTGTTTTCTTGGGCTCCAAAATCTTTGCAGACAATGAGTGAAGACTTGAAATTAAAAGACACTTGCTTCAGGGAATGGCTACCCACTCCATTATTCTTGTCTGGAGAATTCCATTTCCATGGACAGAGAAACCTGGCAGGATACACCCATAGAGTGGGAAAGACTCAGATAGAACTGAGGGACTAACACTTTCACTTTCACTTTTTTCCCCTTGTTCTTGGAAGGAAAGCTATGACAAACCTAGACATCATATTCAAAAGCAAAGACATCACTTTGCCAGCAAATGTCAGTATAGTCACTGCTATGGTTTTTCCATTACTCATGTACTGATGTGAAATTTATACCATAAAGAGACTAAGTGCCGAAGAATTGATGCTTTCAAATTGTGGTGCTGGAGAAGATTTTTGAGAGTCCCTGGGACTGCATGCAAATCAAGCCAGTCAATTCTAAAAGAAATCAACCCTGAATATTCCTTGGAAGGACTGATGCTGAAGCTTTGGAAGGACTGAAGCTCCAATACTTTGGCCACCTGATGGGAAAAGCTAACTCATTGGAAAAGACCCTGATGCTGGGAAAGACTGAGGCCAAAGGAGAAGGGGGAGGAAGAGGATGAGATGGTTAGATAGTGTCACTGACTCAAATGGACGTGAATTTGGGCAAACTGGGAGATACTGGAAGACAGAGAAACCAGGGGAACTGCAGTCCATGGGGGTCATGAAGAGTTGGGCACGACTTAGCAACTGAACAATAATAACTACACAGTCAGTCACAGATATAAACTTTTAATAGCAAGCTAATATAAACATCTGGAACTTGCAAGTTCATCTTCACTGGAAGAGAAGCATTCTAAATAGAAATTTCATCATGATATATACAAAATGAAGCTTTGAAAATTGGAAACTGAATCTCCTATTAACATGTCACATGAAAAAGTTCTTGTTTTCACTGAACTTTAATTTTCCTAAATACTTAGGATATAACCACCTAGTACTTGGGGAGGCATTGAGAGGATACCTATAAAAGTGTGATCAGGCTTAAACAGAGTATGTGCTCAGGAAATGTAGTAAGTACGCAGATAGATACACAGGGTGTCAGAATTTGAATGTGGCCAGAAAAGGAGGCTCAGTTCATGTTGTATGTAGTAGAAGATTCCTTTTTCCCCATTCCAAACAGTTCACGAGTGTCTATTGTGATACATGTTCTATTAGTTCCAGAGATGCAGGAGTTTTGTGGCTCATTGCAGGTGGGATGTGAGTAGCAGTCAAAGAACGGGATGGCAATGAAGAACTGGCGTGCCAGGAGCGGGTATGCGCAGGACGTTCACCTGCTTGTCCTAAATTGAAAGTCAAGTGGTACGGTGGGCAGGGATCCATCACAGATTTTCTTTGTTCCTTTGTTCCATTTCTTCATAAAGCCCCTTGGCCCTGAGAAGTCAACCTGGTTCCCTCCTAGTGCCTGACACTCTAGTCACTAGTCTATCAGTATTTCTTTCAAGCGAGTAATAGCAAAAGTCCCCTGTATTTTATCTCTTTCACCCTTCTGGTCCCTTCTTCAAATTTCAAGATAACTTTTTAAATGCTCATTTGACCAAGCCCTTTTTCAAAAGACCCTCAGTGACTTCCCAGGCCTTCTTTGACCAGATCTCTGCCTAGTTCTTTACTGTTATCTTCTTTAATCCCCAAAGCGGTGAAAAAAATTATTACTGCTTGTGTTTTTCATTACCTGAAAACCAGGGTAGAGAACTAAGTAAAAGCAGAGACTAATGGCTACTCTTTCTACTATCATATGATACCTTTCAGGTTTGCCTGATCACTGTCTTAATCAAAGCATCCTTTCAGTCTTCAGAATAGAATAGAATGCTAATTGAATTTAGTTCATCAACTTTGCTTATATTTCTGCACATAGACACTTCAGAGATTTCCAATTTTATCATAAACCTTAATAAAATAAACATAACAGCCCAATAAGAAAAATACCCATGCAGAAACCAAAATTAACCTTTTCTATGTTCAAAAAAATAGAAATAAGTTAATATCAGAGTTGCACTTATATGTAAATAAAGTATATAATATAATCCCTGGAAAACAAATAAAAAATCAGAATAGATCTTATTTAACAAAATATATTTGCCTTTTCATACATTTATTCTTGTCCAGAACCCTTTATTTTAAAGTGATATTCATTTTAAAGTACTGTATTTAAAAACATTATATTTTAGAACATAGGTGAAACAACATAAAAATTTGCTAATTAAAGCAACATGTCTCTCAATTTTTTATAATTTTCTACATAACAAATTATTACTCTATTTTAGACAAATTTTTACCTGCTCCTGTGTCTTAAATTTTAACATCTTATTTATTTGAATGATAAAAAAAGTCCATTTTAATTGAACTTTATACAAATGTAAATAAATCATTCACAGACTCAAAAATCATAACAGGATATTATCTGTTCTGAAAAGCTCATCAAAATTTCTTTATAGAGCCTGGGCTCTGCAAGAAGAGAGGCCACTACAATGAGAAGCCCACACACTACAACTAGAGAGTAGCCCCTACTCTGAGCAACTAGAGAAAAGTCTGAGCAGCAATGAAGACCCAGCACAGTCAAAAATAAATAAATAAATAAAATTAAAAAAAAAAAAAGAAATAGCAAATAGCTCTTTTGCGGCTTATGCTGTTTCATTGCACCTCCTCAAACAACTGTCTTTCTACACCACTGACTAAAACAGGCTACAATATTTGTCACAAGTTGGCCAATTCTCTCAAAGGCCTGGATTCCACAATCTGATATTTACTATAATTTTTTCTTCTCTTATTCATTATTTCAATGCTGGATGTGGCCTACTAAGGTTTTTGGTCCCACAGTTTGAAAAGTTCTACTTAAGTTCTTTGTATTTAATAATATTGGCACAAAAATTCTTTGCCCAATAGTGTCCAGCTAGAAATTTATTTATTTTTAAATTTTGTTATTTAAAAATCTTTTTTTGGTGTCCCTCTCAAGAGAGTTGGTCTATCCCCTGTTTCCTAAAACTTCACTGCAAGTAAAAATACACATTGTGACAAAGAGTTGATGTCTTTTCATATATGGAAATTTTCAATAAACATCAAAAATCTTTCTTCTTAGACTATACTGCTTCTTTTGAAAATTTCTAAACTAAATTAAAACTATAAATCTCAGTCTTCAATAGCAATGTTACTATCTTGCCTTGCAAACCTGATACAAATTGAATATTCAAATTAGCTTATCAAATACTCACATATTAGAATTTAAAAAGGATCCATTTATCCACTTCCAGTTCTTCTCTGATAATGTAAGATTTAATCCAATCCAAAAGAGAATTGCTTTTTTGTTTATCAGGTTTTGTATGAGTCTCTGTAAATGAAACAGAAGAAATGACTGAATTTGAAACCGTTTTTTTTTTTTTTCATTTTTATATGGAATTTTTTTTTTATTAGTTGGAGGCTAATTACTTTACAATGTTGTAGTGGTTTTTGTCATACATTGACAAGAATCAACCATGGATTTACATGTATTCCCCATCCCGATCCCCCCTCCCACCTCCCTCTCTACCCGATCCCTCTGGGTCTTCCCAGTGCACCAGGCCCGAGCACTTGTATCATGCATCCAACCTGGGCTGGTGATCTATTTCACCCTAGATAATATACATGTTTCAATGCTGTTCTCTCGAAACATCCCACCCTCGCCTTCTCCCACAGAGTCCAAAAGTCTGTTCTATACATCTGTGTCTCTTTTTCTGTTTTGCATATAGGGTTATCATTACCATCTTTCTAAATTCCATATATATGTGTTAGTATACAGTAATGGTCTTTATCTTTCTGGCTTACTTCACTCTGTATAATGGGCTCTAGTTTCATCCATCTCATTAGAACTGATTCAAATGAATTCTTTTTAATGGCTGAGTAATATACCATGGTGTATATGTACCACAGATTCCTTATCCATTCATCTGCTGATGGGCATCTAGGTTGCTTCCATGTCCTGGCTATTATAAACAGTGCTGCGATGAACATTGGGGTGCATGTGTCTCTTTCAGATCTGGTTTCCCCGGTGTGTATGCCCAGAAGTGGGATTGCTGGGTCATATGGCAGTTCTATTTCCAGTTTTAAAAGAAATCTCCACTCTATTCTCCATAGTGGCTGTACTAGTTTGCATTCCTACCAACAGTGTAAGAGGGTTTCCTTTTCTCCACACCCTCTCCAGCATTTATTGCTTGTAGACTTTTGGATAGCAGCCATCCTGACTGGCGTGTAATGGTACCTCATTGTGGTTTTGATTTGCATTTCTCTGATAATGAGTGATGTTGAGCATCTTTTCATGTGTTTATTAGCCATCTGTATGTCTTCTTTGGAGAAGTGTCTGTTTAGTTCTTTGGCCCATTTTTTGATTGGGTCATTTATTTTTCTGGAGTTGAGCTGGAGGAGTTGCTTGTATATTTTTGAGATTAATCCTTTGTCTGTTGCTTCGTTTGCTATTCTTTTCTCCCAATCTGAGGGCTGTCTTTTCACCTTGCTTATAGTTTCCTTTGTTGTGCAAAAGCTTTTAAGTTTCATTAGGTCCCATTTGTTTATTTTTGCTTTTATTTCTAAAATTCTGGGATGTGGGTCATAGAGGATCCTGCTGTGATTTATGTCGGAGAGTGTTTTGCCTATGTTCTCCTCTAGGAGTTTTATAGTTTCTGGTGTTACATTTAGATCTTTAATCCATTTTGAGCTTATTTTTGTGTATCGTGTTAGAAAGTGTTCTAGTTTCATTCTTTTACATGTGGTTGACCAGTTTTCCCAGCACCAATTTTTAAAGAGGTTGTCTTTTTTCCATTGTATATCCTTGCCTCCTTTGTCAAAGATAAGGTGACCATAGGTTCGTGGATTCATCTCTGGGCTTTCTATTCTGTTCCATTGATCTATATTTCTGTCTTTGTGCCAGTACCATACTGTCTTGATGACTGTGGCTTTGTAGTATAGTCTGAAGTCAGGCAGGTTGATTCCTCCAGTTCCATTCTTTCTCAAGATTACTTTGGCTATTCGAGGTTTTTTGTATTTCCATACAAATTGTGAAGTTATTTGTTCTAGTTCTGTGAAAAATACCTTTGGTAGCTTGATAGGGATTGCACTGAATCTATAGATTGCTTTGGGTAGTATAGCCATCTTGACAATATTGATTCTTCCAATCCATGAACACGTGAAACCGTTTTCTCTATTCCTGGTTTGCATTCTTCTATTCATTCTCTGAAACCCAGTTCAAGTATCACTTCCTCTATGAAGCCTTTCCTGATACCCCATTGGAGTTAATTATTCCTTACTTGTGATATTTCTATCCCATTAATTTATATATCCAAATATTTATATTTTTGTATTCATTAAATAATATTTATTTTGCTTATATGTCCATTTAGTCTCTCAGATTGTGAGCTCCTTGAGGTCAAGGTTAATACTTCCATCTTCATAGAACCCTCAAGACTAGAGCACAAAAATCTTGATATGATTAGAAGCCAGTGCTGAGTTGTATGAAAGTATTTTACTTATTAAGAATTATTTACCAATTCTTCCTGATCTTGAATAAGCAGTAGGCTGGATTCTCTTGTGGAACAGTCAGCTAGACTATCACTCCAAGGTTTGGAAGTTTCATGAAAATACAAACATTTATTTTGGATTTTTTGCCAGTGCATTGGGCACGTTAACAGAACTGGTCTCTCTAAAGTAAGAAAGAAGAGAAAAAATAAAAATAAAGTAAGAAAGAGGAAGAAAAGAAATGAATGTTATATTTCTAAGCTATCCCCGCCCCACTAACAATAACCACACATACACAGTTCAGTTCAGTTCAGTTGCTCAGTCGTGTCCAACTCTTTGTGACCCCATGGACTGCAGCATGCCAGGCCTTCCTGTCCATCAACAACTCCCAAAGTTTACTCAAACTCATGCCCATTGAGTTGGTAATTCCATCCAACCATCTCATCCTTTGTCGCTCCTTTCTTCTCCTACTTTCAAACTTTCCTAGCATCAGGGTCTTTTCAAGTGAGTCAGCTCTTCACATCAGGTGGTGAAAGTATTGGAGTTTCAGCTTCAACATCAGTCCTTCCAATGACTATTCAGGACTGAGTTCTTTTAGGATGGACTGGTTGGATGTCATACAAGTCATTATAAATTCAGTAAAGTCTTTGATCATCATTGTGAGAACAATTCATGAATTTAATATAACTGAGGGTTTTGAGGCCACTCTTCACTCTGCTATTAAGATTTGAAAATTAGTGACCAGCTAAAACACTGACAGACAGAATAACTTGTTCAAGTCCACACAAGCCGGTGGTGATAGAGCCAAAACTCTTTTTGAGATTCCTTAAATTCCTTATCATTGCTCTTCCTACTCCATGGACAACTATATCAAACTCTCTTAAAAAAAAGTCTACTTGAAACAACATGTAAAATGAAAAGCAAATAATTCATACCCACAATTAATGGGAAATATCATGGAGAAAATTTATTAGGAAATTTCTAACTGCTAAATTAGATATTTGCCTAATAATGAGATTTATTGGATAGAATTTTTTGAGGGATATTCTCAGTTTCTTAAAATTTCTCTTCTGTACAAATGTATATAAAAAATGATCACATTCTGCTACAGTCTCTCAACAACAGAGTATTAACACACACTGCTTAGTAAGTATAAGGACAAGATCAATATCGTAATGCTTAATACAATAGATATTAAAGAATTCATTTCATGTTTGTGTTCCAGTCATTAGCTTCAGTCAAAGGTTAGCTGCCTGACATATTAAAATCACCAAATATCTCACTTAATGTATATTTTACTTTATAGCTTGGATTTTGACTAATAATTATTGACTCTCCTAGCTGGAGTACTCATAAGTCAGTATTATCTGGTAGTTAAGATAATAGGATCTGACGATAGACCACTGAAGTACAATTCTCCCTTAGCACATGTATGATCCCAAATGAGTTGCTTAACTTTTCCATGCCTCAGCTTTGTCAAATATAAAACCAGAGTGATAAAACTAATCTTAACATATGGGTTGTAATGAGCCTTAATGAAAATAATACAATGATAACTATCAAATTTTAGCTGCTAGTCTTAGAAAATTCAAGCCACAAGATATACCTGTTGCTTCCTTCCTGTTCTCTTGAGCATCCATGCTGGTTTTTTCTATTGATGTGTTTTGTCTTATGAATATCACTGGTAAATAAAGAAACACCATTAAGATAAAATGCTGAAAGGTGCAATGAAATGGATATGCTATACTTATCACTTCAAGAAATTGTCATCTCTGTACTATCTCAACAAGCTTGAAATGAGCAGAAGATAAGAGCAATAGCAATGTAGTAACAATGGGTCTGCTTAGAAGACAAAATAAACAAACACATAAGTAAACACAGAGAAACATTGAGTTACTTGCATCTAATATATAAGTAATATGGAGAAGGGAATGGCAACCCACTACAGTATTCTTGCCTGGAGAATCCCATGAACAGAGGAGCCTGGAGGACTATGGTCCCTAAGATCTCAAAGAGTCAGACATGACTGAAGTGACTTAGCATGCACACACACACTATATAAGTAAACTCCCAAGTGTTACTTAAATTCTTAAATTGCTTACACTCCTATCTACATGTTCCATTTTCAGAAAGAGTATAATTGTGTCTGTCAATGGGAGACATTGCCTAGGACAATCTGGACTTTAGTAGGCACCTAAGAAACTGTATGGATGTCCCAGAAAGTCCAGTGGTTAAGACTTCACCTTCCAATGCAGAGGATGCTGGTTTTATCCCTGGTAGGGGAGCTAAGATCCTGGGACCAAAAAACAAAAACAAAACAAAACAAAAAAACCCCAGAACATAAAAACAGCAGAAGCAGTATTGTAACAAATTCAATAGACTTTAAAAATGGTCCACATTAAAAAAAAAAAAAAAGAAAGAAAGAAAGAAAAGAAACTCTAAGCAATTGTAATCTTATTTTCTTTGTTATTATCAAGATTTTATCATAATTGCAATTTTAAGAAAAGTTCTTGGAGCACATGTAAATCCCCTATGAAGATTCTCAGAACAATTAGAAAGAAAAATATGAAAGCCTAGGGTTTGCAAAGTGGATATGGGCTGGGCACTATTAGAGCACTGTTTCGTAACTGTTTTTATTTCATGAGTCTTCTGCTAAGTGTGGGGTGGCCAAAGCTATTAACATACTTTACTATTTATGGAAGAAAGAGAATAAGTAGAACAAGAAATAAATGATCTTGCATCACTTACCTGAAACACTCATTCCAATCACAGTCAAGGCAAGAAGTACAATCACAGCACAACCAAATTTCAGGGCAAAGTTATGCCAATGTGGACCCTGACAATGATCTGAGACGTTAAGAAAACATGCTTGGTTAACTCAGTTGAGTTCATCTGGTACAAAAAGCAAAGGCTATTTGGATCACATAAGAAAGATCTAGATTCTGGTTGGGGGTTAGGGGCAGGAAAGAACATTTATCAGTTATCATAAAGTAGGGTTCTAGGGACTTTCCTGGTGGTCCAGTGGTGAGGAATCTTCCTGCCAATGCAGGGGACACAGGTTCAATCCCTGATCCAGGAAGACCCCACCTGCCATGGCAGGGTAACTAAGCCTGTGGGCCGCAAGTATTGAAACTCAAGCACCCTAGACCCCATGCTCCACAACAAGAGGAGCCACTGCAATGAGAAGCAACTAGAGAGTGGCTTCCACTCACCACGACTAGAGAAAGCCCACGGAGCAACAAAGATCCAGCATAGCCAAAAATAAATAAAATTAATTAATCGATTTAAAAAAAATGTTTCAGAGCGACCTGCAAGTCCCTTTATTTATACTTTAGTTGTTTACACTCCCCCAGGTGACTGAGTTGTGTCCCAGTTTTCAGCCAACTACTAATGATCTCTCCTGTTAAGACGCTGACATCTGTAGAAGAGTTAGCTCCTTCTAAAACATCCTTCTGAAGATTGAACTTAAGATAGCTAAATGTGATAAAAGATTAAGGTCGGAAACAGAATGGATTAAATTTCAGATAGTGACACCTGGATAATCATCTGGAGGAGGGAGATAAAAGATAACACCTAATTTTGTTGATTTGGTTCTTCTCCCTTTGTTTCTTAATGAGTCTTGCTAACGGTTTGTCAATTTTGTTTATTTTTTCAAAAAACCAGCTTTTAGCTTTGTTGATTTTTGCTATGGTCGCTTTTGTTTCTTTTACATTTTTTTCTGCCCTATTTTTTAAGATTTCTTTCCTTCTACCAACCCTGGGGTTCTTCATTTCTTCCTTCTCTAGTTGCTTTAGGTATAGAGTTAGGTTATTTATTTGACTTTTTTCTTGTTTCTTGAGGTAAGCCTGTAATGCTATGAACCTTCCCCTTAGCACTGCTTTTACAGTGTCCCATAGGTTTTGGGTTGTTGTGTTTTCATTTTCATTCATTTCTATGCAGATTTTGATTTCCTTTTTGATTTCTTCTATGATTTATTGGTTATTCAGAAGCGTGTTATTTAGCCTCCATATGTTTGAATTTTTAATAGTTTTTTTTCCTGTAATTGAGATCTAATCTTACTGCATTGTGGTCCGAAAAGATAACTGGAATGATTTCAATTTTTTTGAATTTCCCAAGGCTAGATTTATGACCCAGGATGTGATCTATTCTGGAGAAGGTTCCATGTGCACTTGCGAAAAATGTGAAATTGATTGTTTTGGGTAAAATATCCTATAGATATCAATTAGGTCTAGCTGGTCCATTGTGTCATTTAAAGTTTGTGTTTCCTTAATTTTCTGTTTAGTTGATCTATCCATAGGTGTGAGTGGGGTATTAAAATCTCCCACTATTATTGTGTTACTGTTACTTTCCCCTTTTATACTTGCTAGCATTTGCCTTACATATTGTGGTGCTCCTATGTTGGGTGCACATATATTTATAATTGTTATATCTTCTTCTTGGATTGATCCTTTGATCATTATGTAGTGTCCTTCTTTGTCTCTTTTCACAGCCTTTATTTTAAAGTCTATTTTATCTGATATGAGTATTGCAACTCCTGCTTTCTTTTGGTCTCCGTTTGCATGAAATATTTTTTTCCAGCCCTTCACTTTCAGCCTGTATGTGTCCCTTGTTTCGAGGTGGGTCTCTTGTAGACAGCATATATAGGGGTCTTGCTTTTGTATCCATTCAGCCAGTCTTTGTCTTTTGGTTGGGGCATTCAACCCACTTACATTTAAGGTAATTATTGATAGGTATGGTCCCGTTGCCATTTACTTTGTTATTTTGGGTTCACGTTTATACAACCTTTCTGTGTTTCCTGTTTAGAGAAGATCCTTTAGCATTTGTTAAAGAGATGGTTTGGTGGTGTTGAATGAAAATGGAGAGATCACAACAGACAACACTGAAATACAAAGGATCATAAGAGACTACTGCCAGCAGCTCTATGCCAATAAAATGGACAACTTGGAAGAAATGGGCAAATTTCTAGAAAAGTACAACTTTCCAAAACTGAACCATGAAGAAATAGAAGATATTAACAAACCCATCACAAGCAAGGAAATTGAAACTATAATCAGAAATTTTCCAGCAAACAAAAGCCCAGGACCAGATGAATTCTAACAAAATTCTTCAGAGCTGAATTCTACCAAAAATTTAGAGAAGAGCTGACACCTATCTTACTCAAACTCTTCCAGAAAATTGCAAAAGAAGGGAAACTTCCAAACTCATTCCACGAAGCCATCATCACCCTAATTCCAAAACCAGACAAAGATGCCACAAAAAAAGAAAACTACAGGCCAATATCATTGATGAACATAGATGCAAAAATCCTTAACAAAATTCTAGCAAACAGAATCCAACAACATATTTAAAAAATCATACATCATGACCAAGTGGGCTTAATCCCAGGAATGCAAGGATTCTTTAATATCTGAAAATCAATCAATGTTAACAAATTAGCAAATTGAAAGATAAAAACCATATGATTATCTCAATAGATGCAGAAAAAGCCTTTGACAAAATTCAACATCCATTTATGATTAAAACTCTCCAGAAAGCAGGAATAGAAGGGACATACCTCAACATAATAAAAGCTATATATGACAAATCCACAGCAAGCATTACCCTCAATGGTGAAAAATTGAAAGCATTTCCCCTAAAATCAGGAACAAGACAAGGGTGCCCACTTCCACCACTACTATTCAACATAGTTTTGGAAGTTTTGGCTACAGCAATCAGAGCAGAAAAAGAAATAAAAGGAATCTAGATAAGAAAAGAAGAAGTGAAACTCTCACTGTTTGCAGATGACATGATCCTCTACATAGAAAACCCTAAAGATTCTACCAGAAAATTACTAGAGCTAATCCACAAATAAACTTGCAGGATATAAAATTAACACACAGAAATCCCTTGCATTCCTATACACTAACAATGAGAAAACGGAAAGAGAAATTAAGGAAACAATACCATTCACCATTGCAACAAAAAGAATAAAATACTTAGGAGTATATCTACCTAAAGAAACAAAAGACCTCTACATAGAAACCTATAAATCACTGATGAAAGAAATCAAAGAGGACACAAACAGATGGAGAAATATACTGTGTTCATGGATTGGAAGAATCAATATTGTCAAAATGACTATACTACCCAAAGCAATCTATAGATTCAATGCAATCCCTATCAAGCTACCAACGGTATTTTTCACAGAACTAGAACAAATAATTTCACAATTTGTATGGAAATAAAAAAACCTCGAATAGCCAAAGTAACCTTGAGAAAGAAGAATGGAACTGGAGGAATCAACCTGCCTGACTTCAGGCTCTACTACAAAGCCACAGTCTTCAAGACAGTATGGTACTGGCACAAAGACAGAAATATAGATCAATGGAACAAAATAGAAAGCCCAGAGATAAATCCGTGTACCTATGGACACCTTATCTTCAACAAAGGAGGCAAGGATATACGATGGAAAAAAGACAACCTCTTTAAAAAGTGGTGCTGGGAAAACTGGTCAACCACATGTAAAAGAATGAAACTAGAACACTTTCTAACACCGTACACAAAAATAAACTCAAAATGGATTAAAGGTCTAAATGTAACACCAGAAACTATAAAACTCCTAGAGGAGAACATAGGCAAAACACTCTCCGACATAATTCACAGCAGGATTCTCTATGACCCACATCCCAGAATATTAGAAATAAAAGCAAAAATAAACAAATGGAATCTAATTAAACAGAAAAGCTTTTGCACAACAAAGGAAACTATAAGCAAGGTGAAAAGACAGCCTTAAGAATGGGAGAAAATAATAGCAAATGAAGAAACAGACAAAGGATTAATCTCAAAAATATACAAGCAACTCCTGCAGTTCAATTCCAGGAAAATAAATGACCCAGTCAAAAAATGGACCAAAGAACTAAACAGACATTTCTCCAAAGAAGACATACAGATGGCTAACAAACACATGAAAAGATGCTCAACATCACTCATTATCAGAGAAATACAAATCAAAACCACAATGAGGTACCATTACACGCCAGTCAGGATGACTGCTATCCAAAAGTGTATAAGCAATAAATGCTGGAGAGGTTGTGGAGAAAAGGGAACCCTCTTACACTGTTGGTGGGAATGCAAACTAGTACAGCCACTATGGAAAACAGTGTGGAGATTCCTTAAAAAACTGGAAATAGAATTGACATATGACCCAGCAATCCCACTCCTGGGCATACACACCGAGGAAACCAGATCTGAAAGAGACACGTGTACTGCAATGTTCATCGCAGCACTGTTTATAATAGCCAGGACATGGAAGCAACCTAGATGCCCATCAGCAGACGAATGGATAAGGAAGCTGTGGTACATATACACCATGGTATATTACTCAGCCATTAAAAAGAATTCATTTGAATCAGTTCTAATGAGATGGATGAAACTGGAGCCCATTATACAGAGTGAAGTAAGCCAGAAAGTTAAAGACCATTACAGTATACTAACACATATATATGGAATTTAGAAAGATGGTAATGATAACCCTATATGCAAAACAGAAAAAGAGACACAGACGTACAGAACAGACTTTTGGACTCTGTGGGAGAAGGTGAGGGTGGGATCTTTCGAGAGAACAGCACCAAAACATGTATATTATCCAGGGTGAAACAGATCACCAGGCCAGGTTGGATGCATGAGACAAATGCTCGGGCCTGGTGCACTGGGAAGACCCAGAGGGATCGGGTGGAGGGGGAGGTGGGAGGGGGGATCGGGATGGGGAATACATGTAAATCCATGGCTGATTCATGTCAGTGTATGACAAAAACCATTACAATACTGTAAAGTAATTAGCCTCCAACTAATAAAAATAGATGAAAAAGAAAAAAAATAAAAAAAATAAAATCGCAAAAAAAAAAAAAGAAATCAACTTAGTAGGTCACAATTCACATCTCTGGTTTACCTGAATGCCTTTGAGATAATCACTATTCTACAGTTCCCACAGCCTGAACAGTTCAGCCAAAGAGCTCAGGGGTGGTTTCACAATAATTGTAATACCAGGTCAATGTGGGGAGACAGAATGTCAGTTGCCATTTCAATAAACAAGAGATGTTGTGACCATAAAGCTATCAGCCAGGGCAGCTACCTCGATGGTGAAGCCTGAGTGGAATTCAGAGTGAAGAAAAACAGGATACTATGGGGAACACATGTAAATCCATGGCTGATTCATATCAATGTATGGCAAAAACCATTACAATATTGTGAAGTAATGAGCCTCCAACTAATATAAATAAATGAAAAAAATAAGTAAAAAAAAGTGTTATTTTGTTTAAAACACAACAGTTTAAAATTTGATCCTTTAATTACAATCTGATATGATATTCAATGTAAATAATTTTCTAGTAGTAATTGTCCAGTAATTAAAAAAAAAACAACAAAGGCACATAACAGTCATAGTTAGAGCTATTATTAAAACATGTTACTGTTATATTCTTGATTTGCTCAGTTTTGTGAAAATTCAGTTAGTCACTAGTTATTTGCATAGAATATTACACATCAGTGTGAGGCAAGCCAAAGTTCAAACAGATAGGTACATATAAAAACAGCTGAATAAACAGTTATTGTTTTTGTTCTGAAAAAAAAAAAAACTTATTTTCAGCATTATTAAAAAATAAAAAAGAGGCTGCCTTCCCAGCTATGGTCCTTGGTAAAACCACCAAATACAAAATTCTCAACTTGTAGGTTATGCATTTTTTGCAGTCAAGTGTTTTGTTCTGACTTTATTCTGCTTTGTTTTTCAGAATTACTTTTTTTTTTCATTTATTTTTATTAGTTGGAGGCTAATGATATTTTGAGGAATAATGATTATGAGCAGCATAGACACATTTTCTGACCCCATTGATTTGGGATCTTAGATCATAACTTTTGAGGAAAATCTTGCTTTTTATAAATTCATCCTCCCACATCTCCTTTCAACACCATCCTCCTTTCTCTCCACTTTTGCTAGATTTGAATAGGGAACAGAAAGCTTTGCTGTTTCCTATCAAAAAAATAACTACAGCTTGACCAAACTGCCATTGTAGTTATCAAAATTCTCCAATTTTCTATAACTCCCCCATTTGAAGGGTATTGGGAAACTATTTGATAACCCTAAGACTTTTCAGTCTCCAATTTAGACTGTTGATGATTGAATAGTTTGAAATTATCCCATGTCATCTTGAAAGCATGCAGCGCACCTGTTAAGCACACAATGGAATGAATATCAGGTGGGGTAAAAATTGCAATATTAGTAAATTTGGTTTGACATCAGAAGGCAGTACTATATTATGATAATTTCATACATTTTCTACTTAGTTTCTAGTTTCTTTTCAGCCATGGAATCCGTCACCTGTTACCTCATGTTAGAATCCTCATCTCCTTCACTCAGAATACTAGCTCATCTGACACACAGAAAATTGCCAAATTCAACAAGTATCAAATAGGTTTATCAGTGATATTCTCCTGTGTCTTGTGGCTTATCTCCTTCTAAACTGATAACATTTTTCAATTTAAAAATCATCATTTTGTGAGTATATTCACATCTTTGATCTTGAATATAATTTTCTTTTGGAACATTTTTTCCTTCCCTTTGAAGAGTGGAAGATGTTCATCATTAACTTCTTTAACACTGTGTTAATTAATTAGCAAAGTGTTAATCATTAACACTTTGTATTCCAAAAGAAATGCCATGGGTGCGAATGCATTGGAACTTAATCACAGTATTTTACAGAGAGATTTGAAATAAAGTAGGTTTCTATTACAACAAGGTAACAGAACATTTCTAAAAATATTTCTTTGTTAAAAAACAAAAACAAAAAGGGACTTCCTGGCTGGTCCAGTGGTTAAGACTCCATGCTTCCACTGCAGGGAGCACAGGTTTCATTCTCGGTTGGGGAACAAAGATCCTGCACCCCACATGGGATGGCAAAAAATAAAAACAAAAATAGAAAAACTCCTTTTATTTACAAATAAAATAAAAAATACTCCTTTGTCCATACCTGTAAAGTATTTATTCACATTATTTTAGCCAAGGCTCAGTAACAGGAATGATGTTCACTTTTCACAAAAGTATCTTCATAAAAAAGAAATCTATAAGGTACATACTTTTTTCCACACCTGTGATTACCTACAGACAGGCGATGCTATATCACCTTAATATTAATACATGACTACTGCTTGTCTTCAAAATCATGATGTAAAGCCACAAATTTATAGGAACATCTAACTATTGGAAGATATACTAATGCCAAGAGGAAAATTAAAGCCACTTACTCTGAAGAAGAGATGGGGGTGATGACCTTTCAATGCCAGAATTCCTGGGTAAGTTTAAATCAGCATATACCAACTGACTCTCCATTGCAAACAGAAGAATGTGGTACTATACTCCTATAAAAGGAAAAACTCCAAGTTCTATGAGGCAAGATCAGCTGACAGAAGTGACCAGTTTAAAAAGTTTCGTTGTCTCTCTTAGATCAGCACCTACCCACACTGCTAGTTGTGGGTTTTGTCTATAAATTAGTGAGAAAAATCCACTTACTGGGTGTCCAGTGTACTTAGACATGTAATATTAGGTTGGCCAAAAAGTTTGTTCAAGTTTTCCATAACATGGAAAATGTCAAAGGAACTTTTTGGCCAACTCAATATCTACTTTGTTTAGTTAATTGGCCTATTGTTTGACAATATTCTGGAAAGATTGTTTGTTGTCTTTGTAACTATCTTTTTTCAACACCTTTTTCTGGGCCAGACCAGAGTGAAGGAAATGAAGTACTCTGATTCGGCTCCAAAAAACAACAACAACAAACCAAGAATCAAGATAAACCATATTTAATGCAAGGTTGCAAAAAGTAAACACTAACACACACAAAAAACTGTAGGACACTTTTCAAAAAATCTCAGGTCTTCCTGAAATATTTGTGTTCCTGTTTTTTTTTTTTTTTTCCCATTTATTTTTATTAGTTGGAGGCTAATTACTTTACAACATTGCAGTGGTTTTTGTCATACATTGAAATGAATTAGCCATGGATTTACATGTATTCGCCATCCCGGTCCCCCCTCCCACCTCCCTCTCCACCCGTGTGTTCCTGTTAAGAGCTGCAAAATGTGGGGGAAAGAGCTGTAAATGTGGAAAAGGTCACTGAGTAATACAACAGAGAAAGCAAAGAGCCAAGGATCCAGACTATTCTTACTTACAGGACAGAAGACCCTTATGCAATCACTATTGTATACTTATAAAATGGACTTCCCAGGTGGTTCAGTAGTAAAGAATCTGCTGGCCAAAGCAGGAGATGTAGGAGACATGGGTTCCATCCCTGGGTCAAGAAGAGTCTCTGGAGAAGGGAATGGCTACTTACTCCATTATTCTTGCCTGGACCACCCCATGGACCAGAGGAATCTGGTGGGCTACAGTCCATTAGATCACAAAACATCAGACACAACTGAGTGACTAGCATATCTCAACATAATAAAGACCATTTATGAAAAGCTCATGGCACAATCAATGGTGAAAAAAAATAAAAGCTTTTTTTCTGAGGGCAAGAACAAGCAAGGATGTCTGTTCTCACCACTCGTATTAAACATAGGTATGGAAGTTCTAGCCAAACCAATTAGACATGGAAAAGAAGTGAAGTCATCCAAGTTGAAAAAAGAGAAGCAAAATTACATCTGTTCAGAGAAGACATAACCTTAATGTGTAGAAAATCATCAAGACTCCAGACTCACATAGTCACAAACTGTTAGACTAATAAATGAATTTGTCTAAGTTTCAGAATAAAAAGTCAATACACAGAAATCAGTTGCTATATACCGATTAATGATTTGGAAAGAAAATGAAATTCATTGGCAACAGTATCAAAAAGAATAAAATACTTTGGAAAAAACTAATTAAAACTTGTACTGAAAACTGTAGAATGTTGCTGAAAGAAATTAAAGAAGACATAACTAAACGAAGAGACATCCCATGTTTGTGACTTGGAAGATTAATATTGTTAGCATATGTATACTAGAACTACCATATGACCCAGCAATTCCATTCCTGGGTGTATGTCATTAAAAAAATGAAAACACTAATTTGAAAAGATACATGCCCCTCAATGTTTGTAGCAGTATTACTTATACAATTGCCAAGATATGGAATAAACTTATGTCTAGGGCTTCCCAGGTGGTGCCATTGTAAAGAATCTGCCTGCCAATTCAGGAGACATAAGAGATGTGGGTTGGATCCTTGGTTTGGGAAGATGCCCTGGAGAAGGGCATGGCAACCCGCTCCATTCTTCTTGCCTGGAGAATCCCCATGGACAGCAGAGATGGGCAGGCTACAGTCAATAGGGTCACAAAGAGTAGGACACGACTGAGCACACACGCATGCACACATATAAAGAAATGGAGTATTGACTGCTACAGTGAAACTTGCGTCGCTGCTCCTAAAACCCAAGTGTTTTTTGCTTTATGGGTTTTTGTTGTTGTTGTTGTTGTTGTCTGGTTGGTTGGCTGGTTTTTGTTTTGGGGTTGCTTTTTGTTGTTTAAAAAATCTGAGTTCATTTAATAACAGTTCCTACCAGGGGGCGCTGCTGGCCTTTCTCTTTTATATCCTTAAACCTTCTGTATATTGAAATCAGAAAGCTCCTGTTATTGGTAAATGCTTCAGTCCACATTATTTCATTTGATACATTAATATCTGCCTTATTCAGGCACTGAGGTTTTTTTTAATTTATGGATGAGTAAGGAGCAAGATGACCATCTGTTTCCTACCTCAAAACCCGGGCTCCTTTTGCAACCTACCGCACCACATTTTGCTCCTGTAATACCTATAAAACCAAGTTATACAGAGGGAAAAAAAGATAAAATAAATTTTGCTCAAGACTGGCCATTGTACTGCAAACAGTAGCTCTGCTCCTGGGTAGGTCGTCTGTCTAAATTAGAGTAGATGAAACCAACCTTGACTGTGTTGCTTATTGTGCCAGGGTACCTCTGAGCAAGATTGATATATATGTATACGGTGACCTGGACAGCCTTGACATTTTCCTAACGTTGTGTACACTTTGTGCTTAGTTGTTCAGTCATGTCTCACTCTTTTGTGATGCTTTGGACCGCAGACTGCCAGGCTCTTCTGTCCATGAGGACTCTCCAGGCAAGAACACTGGAGAGGGTTGCCATGCCCTCCTTCAGGGATCTTCCCAACCCAGGGATCTAACCCAGGTCTCCTGCATTGAACAAGGATTCTTTACTGTCTGAGTCACCAAGGAAGCCCATGGATAATGGAGTGGGTAGCCTGTTGCTTCTCCAGGGAATCTTCCTGACCCAGAAATTGAACTGGGGTCTCACGCATTGCAGGCAAATTCTTCACCAGCTGAGCTATCAGGGAAGCCCCTTGTTTAAGCTCTAGACAGGTGTTTGCCTAAGTCAAGAGATACCTTCTCCAGGAGACCTTCCCCACCCAGGGATTGAACCTACAGTTCCTGCAGTGGCAGGTGGACTCTTCACCAAAGCACCACCTGGGAAGCCAAACTCTACAGATGGATATTACCATCAGATTAATTACATTATTTGCAGCTGAAGATGGAGAAACACTATGGTGGTGGTAGTTTAGTTGCTAAGTGGGTCTCAGTTGCGGCATGCAGGGGCTTTTTTTGTGGCACGGCTACTCTCTTAGTTGCAGCCTGAGGGTTTATTTGCCCCACAGCATATGGGAACTTAATTCCCTGACCAGGGACTGAGCCTGCTTTCTCTGCATTGGTAGCTGAATTCTTAACCACTAAACTACCAGGGAAGTCCCAATTATATTTACCCTTCAGCAAGGGTAGATAGATGGTTAAAAATTGTTTCAAAGGTTACTGTGGTCATAGCAAAGCAAAAGTAGAGATTTCAGCCTCTCTTTTTCTCTTGATGGTTTAGTGTTTCATTTGTTCAGCATTCCCTCCAGTGGTTTCTAGGTGCCTTTTTCAGACTTGCACTTTAAGTTTAAAGGATTCTGACAGCAAATAATCTTGACCCTTAACTCATGTCACACAGAACACACTAGAAATTTGGATATGTCACATCTTTGACTTCCAGTTCTAGTTTAAGGATGAGAGCATGTTCCTAGGCCACTGAGCTAAAAACAGTGATAATGCTGACTGCTCTTTTAATTAAGAGACTCCATTTTAGGTTTATGAAAAAAAAAAGTTTTCGTTTCGGAAAAAAGCAGAAATGTAGAGAGTCCCCACAGGCATTTCTTCCTCATACACAGCTTCCCTTGTTTTAAACACATTATATTAGTTTGTTTTATTGGATACAGCTTATGAGCAAATTTTTCTACAATATTATGAACTGAAGTCCATAGACCACATTAGGGTTTACTCTTTATGTTCCATATGCTATGGCAAGCCTGGGCTTTCCTGTTGGCTCAGATAGTAAAGAATCCACCTGCAAGGTAGGAGGCTGGGGTTCAATTCTGGGTAATGAAGATCCTCTAGAGAAGGGAATGGCTATCCTCTCCAGTATTCTTGCCAGGAGAACTCCTTGGACAGAGAAGCATGGTGGCCTACTGTCCATGGGGCTGCAAAAAGTCGGACACGACTGAGCAACTAACACTTTCACTTTCATAATGACATGAATTTGATAGGGATAGAGTAAAGGGACAAAGTAGGTAATTAAATGGTTAATCCCACTGGGGATTGTAAGTAAAAAAGTATGAGAATGGGAAACCCCTGTAAGTTAATGATTGTTTAAGAAAGCAGTTTTGCTTAACTACAAAACCAAGCAGGATTGTTTAACAACAAAACCTTGCAAAACAGAAGCAGGAAATATCTCTCAAAACAATAAAACAATGATGGCAAGAGGCCCACATTCTACCTAGTGAGCTCAGTAAGTTAATGACCCCTAGGACAAGCTCTCTGCACATATAAAAGAACAATAAAATAGAAAGGTGACATTGAAAGTGAAAGACCCTCATGGTACTGAAACTTGAAACAATTTTTCCATAGTGCCATGACTGTCCTGGCTTAACCACGCAGGGACAAGAAAACTCTCCAGCCTGACGTGAAGGCAGAACTGATGATGGAAGTTTGACATCTACTCAAGAATGAGGAAAAAAGTGGTATTTTCCCCCTCCCTATTTTTCCAGTTTCCTTTAATATAAAACTATAGCCCACTAAGTTCTCAGGCACAGCACCCTCTCATCCACTCACTTCTTAGAGTCACAAATCTCCTATTCTAATAAATCCTTTTTTTTTCATTTATTTTTATTAGCTGGAGGCTAATTACTTTACAATATTGTAGTGGCTTTTGTCATACATTGACATGAATCAGCCATGGATTTACACGTATTCTAATAAATCAATTCTTATCTATCACTTTGCCTCTCACTGGATTCTTTCTGTG